TCAACAGTGTATCAGCAGTGTATCAACAGTGTATCAGCAGTGTATCAACAGTGTGTCAGCAGTGTATCAGCAGTGTATCAACAGTGTATCAGCAGTGTATCAGCAGTGTATCAACAGTGTATCAGCAGTGTATCAACAGTGTATCAACAGTGTATCAACAGTGTATCAACAGTGTATCAGCAGTGTATCAACAGTGTATCAACAGTGTATCGACAGTGTATCAGCAGTGTATCAGCAGTGTATCAGCAGTGTATCAGCAGTGTATCAACAGTGTATCAGCAGTGTATCAGCAGTGTATCAACAGTGTATCAGCAGTGTATCCACAGTGTATCACTATCAACAGTGTATGAGCAGTGTATCAGCAGTGTATCAGCAGTGTATCAACAGTGTATCAACAGTGTATCAGCAGTGTATCAGCAGTGTATCAACAGTGTATCAGCAGTGTATCAGCAGTGTATCAACAGTGTATCAGCAGTGTATCAACAGTGTATCAGCAGTGTATCAGCAGTGTATCAACAGTGTATCAACAGTGTATCAGCAGTGTATCAACAGTGTATCAGCAGTGTATCAACAGTGTATCAACAGTGTATCAACAGTGTATCAGCAGTGTATCAGCAGTGTATCAACAGTGTATCAGCAGTGTATCAACAGTGTATCGACAGTGTATCAGCAGTGTATCAGCAGTGTATCAACAGTGTATCAGCAGTGTATCCACAGTGTATCACTATCAACAGTGTATGAGCAGTGTATCAGCAGTGTATCAACAGTGTATCAACAGTGTATCAACAGTGTATCAGCAGTGTATCAACAGTGTATCAACAGTGTATCAACAGTGTATCAACAGTGTATCAGCAGTGTATCAACAGTGTATCAGCAGTGTATCAACAGTGTATCAACAGTGTATCAACAGTGTATCAACAGTGTATCAACAGTGTATCAGCAGTGTATCAACAGTGTATCAGCAGTGTATCAGCAGTGTATCAACAGTGTATCAACAGTGTATCAGCAGTGTATCAACAGTGTATCAGCAGTGTATCAACAGTGTATCAACAGTGTATCAGCAGTGTATCAACAGTGTATCAACAGTGTATCAGCAGTGTATCAACAGTGTATCAGCAGTGTATCAACAGTGTATTTGTTCACTGCCATTGACAGCATGTGTGTTATCTTACCACAAGTACTTTGACCACAAGGTACATGTATACACAGAGAATCTATACCAAGTGCACTCGCTAGGCATTTTGATTGTGTGTATGGAGGGGGGAGGGGGGAGGGAGGAGAGAATGAGAAGAAACACAGGAGGATGTAAGTCTTCATCATCAGTTTTGACTACTAGTATACTGACCCCCCCCCCCCCTGTAGAGATCACTGGATCCGCCACTGCATCCGCAACCTGGATACCAACATTTAGCTTCTAAAAGGCGCATGGTCGAACACGCACCATTAGGATAACAAGGTAGTTTTTGGGGAAGAAATGGACTACAAGATAGAATATGCATGGCATGCTCTCCTACAATGGTAGCCTTAGGAGCCTAAAACCAAGAGTCCTTGAAACCCTGAGTGTGCAGCTTTTGACTTTTCTGCATAGGTGTCTGTGACGGCGACATTTTCGGAATTACATCATAGCTCATGCAGATATGCGGCGGGAATGGCATTGTGCGTACAACGGAGCTGCAGTTGTACAGAAAGAAATCTGCTTTAATTCTGGTTCCCGTAGCTATGCAGAAGACGATACTTCAGTAACGTCTGGCGCTAGCCAGGGTCCACACAGCTTTAATTGCATATACTACCTCACTAAGATGATGTTATCCCGGAATTGTGCCGTGACAGCAACTCATCCGAGCTGCACACTCTGGGGTTCATGTACTCTTGCTAACACACAGCCCCTATGCTAACACACAGCCCCTATGCTAACACACAGCCGCTATTCTATGTTTCTGCATCTATCAGCTTCGGCGCGTTATCTCCGTATGTACAGGGTGCTGTTGAGCGTTCAGTAGAGATACGAAACACAAGTTCATCTGGTAAGTTGTACAATTGTGCTGTATGCAGGTTGGCCGAATGCAGCAAGAAATTCAGTTTTATATATTTTCTTCCTTTTCACTGTGACTGCTGCTCTACAGATGTGCGCATATGTAATGTGTGTGTGTGTGTGTGTGTGTGTATGTGTGTGTATGTGTGTGTGTGTGTGTGTGTGTGTGTGTGTGTGTGTGTGTGTGTGTATGTGTGTATGTGTGTGTGTGTGTGTGCTGTTGTGTTTCTGCTGTTGTGTGTGCTCAGTTGTGTGTGTGCTCAGTTGTGTGTGCTCAGTTGTGTGTGCTGTTTTGTGTGCTGTTGTGCGTGTGTAGTTGTGTGTGCTGTTGTGTGCTGTTGTGTGTGGTTGTGTGTTGTGTAGTTGTGTGTGCTGTTGTGCAGTGGCGTCGGATACGGTACGGTCACTACGGTATTGACCGTACCACTTTTTTCCCAAGGTGCCCCGTGGACCAATAAAATACACTGATCTGAACTTTAAATTTCCAAAATTTCGACTCCGCCATCCCTCCTTCACGAGTAACTTGTACTTCAGATGGCTGACCGTACCATACTAAAATACCTCCCGACACCCCTGTTGTGGGTGCACTTGTGTGTACCAAACATTGTAGTTGTGTGCCTAACTGTGTGTCCAGCTGTATATGCAGTAGTGCGTGTGTGTGTGTGTGTGGGGGGGGGGGTGAGGTGGAGAGTGCGTGCTTGAGCGTGCAAGTTTCAAATTTCCACAAACTCCCCATATCTTGTCAATCTAGTCCTTACCGTGGATGGCGTTCACGGTTTTGCGATGCTTTGCATTGCTGTGTATTCACATCAGTATGATGTGCCCTTAGCACAGTCTTCAAATTATTGGATGGTATTGATACACTGACTTGAAGATCCCAGTGCAGAATTATTTATTGTAGAATAATGGTTGTTGATGTACTCCTGGAGAAATGTCAATAATACACACCTACATACTCGCACGGTCTTAACTACCATTATGCTCTAATGCTGCATGTCTTGGAGTCTTCAATTTTTTTACAAAGTCAAGATTCGACAAAGTTGATTGTTCCAAGATTCGACAAGTCCGTGAAAATTCCGCAATGTGGCACTGGTCAGTTCGCAAAGGTCCGGAGAGTGCTTTCTAACACTGGCACGCAATCAAGCAAACGTAATTGTATATGCACTAAGGCCCGCTTAACTCTGCCTCCGGCTGGAGTATCAAAGTCAAAGTGGTCTAACTGTGAGAGAAACAGTGAGATTTTCCCGAAGGCGGATAATTTTGGCACAAACCTTGAATAGAGCTGTATGTAACATTATACACAGAGATTGAGCACCCAACTTTTGCTGTGTGTATGTAGATATTCGCGTGGACTGGGAACTGAGGAGAGTGAGAAATGATTTTGGTCAACGACGGCACACTGCTAGTGACATGGCAGGCTTCACTCAAGGCAAACCGGAAGGTGGCGAAGGTGCCGGCCAAAATGTTACTGCTGATGGTGTGTTAGCCATGGCACAAGAGCCTTCACAGAACCAGCAGCAGCAGCAGCAGCAGCAGCAGCAGGAAAGTCAAGGTGATGAGTGGCAAATTTCAACATTGACCGAGGAAGGATCATCCGGAACAGTAGCATGGACAGAGGTCGCCAGTAATGAAGAAAAAGGCTTGAAGCGGTTTCTTGACTTTGAAGTCATTGCTGGTGACCCCTTCCCGATACTGGAGGCTGGCACTGAGCGCATGCAGGAGAGAGACTACTATGGCTGTGAAGAGCTTGTGCACAGTTCTACACCAGTCATCCAGTATCCAGAGGAGTGTAGCTTGCTCTACTGTCAACATAACTATGAAGATATGTATCTATCTACCACTGACTGTGCTGCTCCGCGATTACACAGTGCAGCTGCTGCATCGACATCTACAGCTGCTTCTGACAAACACCAGCTGAAGTGCTGTGAAAATTCAGCTCATCCTCAAAGTGTTGCCTACATCAAAGTGCGTGTGTCGTACAGTCAAGGTGAATCACCGGCAAAGCTATTCTCGATTTCACCGACACAGATGGTAAGCAATCAAACTCTTCACACCTACCTCTTCTTTGAGCTTTCCCTACATGTACATACTATATACATGACACACATGTACATACTATATACATGACACACATGTACATACTATATACATGACACACATGTACATACTATATACATGACACACATGTACATACTATATACATGACACACATGTACATACTATATACATGACACACATGTACATACTATATACATGACACACATGTACATACTATATACATGACACACATGTACATACTATATACATGACACACATGTACATACTATATACATGACACACATGTACATACTATATACATGACATACATGTAGATGTCAAAATGAAAGGAGGCTTTGCAGTAAAGTAGGCTACCTGTAAGCATCCAGCACACTCTGGTACATCACAACGTGTAACGTCACACAATACTGCTATTAAAGCCGGGAGGGGGTCTGGGGCAAGGGAGCAGGGTGGGTGGGGGGGGGGGTCGGGGAGGGGGAAGGGTGGATAAGTATCATAGCCACTATGTTATATAGCATAAGTGCCAGACCCCATTTGTATGGTCTACGCTACCTTTGACTTGATTGTGCCAGGACGGCAGTTCACTTTACTCTTGACTTGCAGCATGGTGGGGATAACCCTTCCACTTCAAAACTGGACTTGAAACTGATACTCTCTGTTCTCAATCATGCTGCTAGATCACTCTACTATGCTCATCTGCCTGACACTTCTCCATTTTATATTTCCAGCTGCTTCAAACCCCTCAGGGATACAAAAGTATGGCCAGCTTGAAATTAAAGAGGGGTAGCTATGACAGTTGTGCATAGCTATTTTAATCTGCATAGCTCCATGCATATACTATACAGGACCGGCAGAACTGCAGATTTTGATTGGTTGGGCCGTACCACAGCCTTTTGTTCTGTGTGTATATGATACCGTACTCGTGCAATCAGTGCCGCTGGGTCGCTATTTTGTCAATGTCCATCGCAGATTGGGCACTATTCAAGAGAGGGCACTATTCAAGAGAGGGCACTATTCAAGAAAGGGCACTATTCAAGAGAGGGCACTATTCAAGAGAGGGCACTATTCAAGAGAGGGCACTATTCAAGAGAGGGCACTATTCAAGAAAGGGCACTATTCAAGAGAGGGCACTATTCAAGAGAGGGCACTATTCAAGAGAGGGCACTATTCAAGAGAGGGCACTATTCAAGAGAGGGCACTATTCAAGAGAGGGCACTATTCAAGAAAGGGCACTATTCAAGAGAGGGCACTATTCAAGAGAGGGCACTATTCAAGAAAGGGCACTATTCAAGAGAGGGCACTATTCAAGAGAGGGCACTATTCAAGAGAGGGCACTATTCAAGAGAGGGCACTATTCAAGAAAGGGCACTATTCAAGAGAGGGCACTATTCAAGAGAGGGCACTATTCAAGAGAGGGCACTATTCAAGAGAGGGCACTATTCAAGAGAGGGCACTATTCAAGAAAGGGCACTATTCAAGAGAGGGCACTATTCAAGATTGGGCACTATTCAAGAGAGGGCACTATTCAAGAGAGGGCACTATTCAAGAGAGGGCACTATTCAAGAGAGGGCACTATTCAAGAGAGGGCACTATTCAAGAGAGGGCACTATTCAAGAGAGGGCACTATTCAAGAGAGGGCACTATTCAAGATTGGGCACTATTCAAGAGAGGGCACTATTCAAGAGAGGGCACTATTCAAGAGAGGGCACTATTCAAGAGAGGGCACTATTCAAGAGAGGGCACTATTCAAGAGAGGGCACTATTCAAGAGAGGGCACTATTCAAGAGAGGGCACTATTCAAGAGAGGGCACTATGCTGGTATATTTGCCTCGTCCAGCATAAAAATGAAGCAAAACAGAGCCTACAGTTTACTGTAAACTATCCCGACTCAACACAAATGGCAACAAGAACTGCGAATTTGATCCTGAAACCATCAGTGCAGTGCCATGGACAAGAACATTACCAGAATAACACCTAACTAGTTTCTTGCACATGCGCTTGGTTACCAGCTGGGGGAGGGGGGGGGGAGCACTATTCAAGAGAGGGCTATATTTTTGCTCTCAGAGACTGGGGCACTATTCAAGAAAGGGCTCTAATCGCGCGAGTACAGTATACCGGGTAGACATGACTTCAGCAGTGACACATGTTGGTTGCTAAAATGTTGGTCCAGCCATGGCCTGATCAACAGGTTGCAGCAGGCCTGATACAGTACCCCATCACCATTTTGATGAACAGTGGCAAGGAATGGCATAATGAGCTACTGCTACTCTTCCATGCCGACATTGTAAATACATGGATTGTGTCTTATACATAGGGAAATTAGGATGGGTTGTTGACCGGCTGGCTGGCTGGGTGGTTGGTTGGATGGATGGGTGGATGGATGGATGGGTGGATGGAAGGATGGAAGGATGGACGGATGGGTGGATGGACGGATGGATGGATGAATGGGTTGATGGATGGATGGCTGGCTGGCTGGCTGGCTGGATGGGTGGCTGGCTGGATGGGTGGATGGATGTGCATCTGTCCATCTGCTCATGTGTTTTTTGTAACCGGTATGGGTTCAAGTATGTGTTTGTGTGTGTGTGTTTGTTTTGTTTTATAGCTGATTCCAGCACATGGCCGTAGAACTGTCCATGTGAGCGCATCACCATCACATCTATCCCCTGCTGATAGATCAAGTTCTCAAGCCCTTATTGCTGAGGGGTATTTGAGTTTGGATCATTGCCACTCAACCAAGGTAACATACCTGGCATTAATACCTTGTTAAAGGGGAAGTTAAGGCAAAAATTAAAATTTCACCAGTTGTAGTCTTCGGGGTGCTGAGTCGAATGGTCTTGGTCCGAGAAAGCTGAGACGCTCCCTTCCTACTTGAATCCCAATCGAACTCGCGCACTTCCACCGAAACTGGGTGACTGCGCCCTACGAGATGGGGATTTGTATGCAAAATGTCACTAAAAGCGCCATTTCGTTCTTCTAAAAGCACGGATGACCGCGATTGGCCCATATGTTGTAGTCTTTTGGACGCTGAGTCGACTGGTTTTGGTCCGAAAAGGCTGCGATGCAGCGTTCCTCCTTTATTCCCAATCGAATATGGTTGAACAAGCGGTCACGTGCTCCTGGGTGCCAAAATCACCTGGTCACCACGCCAGCAGGCGACAACTTTCACACCAAGGTTCAACTCGAGTGACAGGACTGCACCCAAAAAAGGTCAAAACAGGCTGTAAGTTGTACCCTGCAGGCACGGTGACCAGGTGACTGGTGTACGCAGGAGCACGTGACCACTTGTTCAACCATGTTCGATTGGGAATTAGGGGCGAACGCTGCATCGCAGCGTTTTCGGACCAAAACCAGTCGACTCAGCGTCCAAAAGACTACAACATATGGGCCAATCGCGGTCATCCTTGCTTTTATAAGAACGAAATGGCGCTTTTAGTGACATTTTGCATACAAATCCCCATCTAGTAGGGCGCAGTCACCCAGTTTCGGTGGAAGTGCGCGAGTTCGATTGGGATTCAAGTAGGAAGGGAGCGTCTCAGCTTTCTCGGACCAAGACCATTCGACTCAGCACCCCGAAGACTACAACTGGTGAAATTTTGATTTTTGCCTTAACTTCCCCTTTAAGCACTGTACCGTATCAAGTTCACAGTCTCAACATCAGATGCCCCTCCGAGCGGCACTTTCCTTGCATGTCGTCAGCTGAGTGATACTTCCGCTGTGTGGGTTGTTTTCTTCATTGCACTGGCTGTGGCCGTATACTGCAATTTCCTTAAACGTTCTTTGCAACTGATAGGTCCAGCTTCTCTGTCCCTAAGCACTCTCTACTATTTTTAATTACCTGTGACAACAATGGTCCCTTCATTTGCTTAGAATAATCTATTTTGCTACGTTTTCAGCAAAGACTAAAATTGTGCAAATGACGGCACTTGGCAATCGTTATCATATACATTGTACATGGTCATGGTGTCTGGTGAAGGTAGCACATATATCTCACACACCGTCATCCACATCCTGCAGAAATGTTTTGTACCCAAAGGCAGCCAGCAACACGGGCCCATGAGTGAAAGCTCTCTCGACGAACAGTGTATGATTATTCCTTTTGCCAACCAGGTGTCAGGTAATTATAATTTGAACTAGCTTGCAATGTGGTTGGCTACCTGGCTGGCTAATAGATCGGTTCACGATGCTATGATAACGTGCATGGTTCCTTGTATTTGGTTGTGCAATGTTCTTTATTGTGTGTATGTGTGTGTGTGTGTGTGTATGTGTGTGTGTGCACCTGGAGCGTCATCGAGCGTCGTGTCCTCTCTCTCTCTCTTCTCAAGTTTCCCAGTGATGGGATCACGTGACCCTTTTGCGGCAGTGACTCTACAGGACAGGACAGGTGTGTATGTGTGTGTGTGTGTGTGTGTGTGTGTGTGTGTGTATGTGTATGTGTGTGTGTATGTGTGTGTGTGTGTGTGTGCGTGCGCACGCGTGTGTGTATTTGTGTGTGTGTGTGTGTGTGTGTGTGTTCTAGTTCCAGCAAAGCACTATCTATCGTCCTCAAGGATACGCTGCAGAACCCATGAAACTTCTCCTTGCGGCCAGCATTGAACAGGAGAGGTGAGTATTCTTATCTGTCTCTGTGGAGTACAATCATAGCATTGGCAGCACTGACTACATTGGCAGCACTGGCTGCACTGGCAATATCATTCTTTTAATTAAGTGAACAATGCTTCATTTTAAAAGTGTGGGGATAGGCACACATGCACACACGCACACATGCACACACACACAGACATGTATGCACACATGCAGACGTGCACATACGCACGCGCACACACAGACACAGGCACACGACACACGCACACACATACAAACAGTTATAAAATACACACCCACGCACGCACAACCAGAAAACCGTCTAAATACAGACTATTCCAAGAGCTATTGGGTAAGGGCACTGGATGAATCCCACCGTCAGAGACCAAACTCCAAAGTTTCTCTACACTTCCTAGCGAATAGTTTGTCATGGAAAGCCGAACTTTATCTCTTGTTTCTTCCCTCCTGTGTCAGTCAATGACACATTAGAACCTTTTTTGGGAAGGGGGGGGGGTGTTTGTATGAATGTACGAGTAATATGATTGTACTCGGATCAGCATGTATGCATTTGTTTTGACATTATGTTGTCTGTGTATATGTGCTCCTCTTGCTTCTGCCGCAAAGACTGAGTATAGAAAAATTGACTAACACAGAGTGGATTGCATCTCCTGCGGAGTTTATCACTCGCCGTGTAAGCTGCAATATTTCTTGATCTTCATCACTTGTTTGCTTTGGGCGAAATAATGCTGGGTCTTGTCACTGATTTAATTTATATGGCATGTTTTGGGCTGGTGAACAAGCAGCACGTAAGACAAAATCAAAATCATGTACTGTATGTTCTGCAACCAACAACCTACCCACCGCACACTATATTCAGTGACTTTGTATACAGTGGTACAAGTACAGTAGGACAACATGGATACTTTGAGTATGGTGTAAATCCGCATGTACAACTCTTCACTTCTCAAATGGTGGTGCAGAACTGCCAACCAACTGGGTATGTTACATGCACTGTGACTCCTGATTGTCCGTATTTTGCAGTGTTTTTTTCTTGCATACTACCAATGTACTGCCGTGTGCAGTGCTTGCACACTCACAGCGGCATGCTAGGCATGTCAGTGGCTGGAAACATGTGTGACTTGTACAACAAAATGATGCCGGTTTTTATACTACCTGTAGTCGTACACGGCGTACACTCGCTCTGGAACAAGGGTAGTTGTCACTCAGCTTGTGGTTACCATGATTCTGTTCTGCACAGCAGATTGATCTCTCTAATTCAAAGTACTTCATAGTAGTAATTTCCATATCATTTTGCTCAAATTTCGTAATGCGCACAAAGGAGTTATTTTTCGTATGAATACGAAAAAAATACGGAGGATTGGCTGCACTGGTGTCACCATTGCGAATCACTTTACATTCCACCGAATGTTCAGGCCTGGCATGTTATCAGGGTGAAACACCACCACTTTTATCGTGGTGATAGGTGACGCACAAAGGTATGGAGGAATGTTAAGTGAAAGAAACGACCAAGGTTTACATGTTATCCGGCATAGTTTGTCCAGCACTAAGATAAAATACTGGTGAGCTAGAATGTGCAACAGTTGGCACAATACTGATTGATGTTGTACTGGCATTCAACGACCTGATGTTTAACAACAGTACCACATCTCGAGTGCGCAAACCATTCTAAGTTATGATGTAACATGAGAAAGGGGAAGGTGAGCGCACTCAAGGCAAGAACTAGCCGATCGTCACACCGAGCTAAGAATGTTTGCTTTGACAAGATGCTGGCGCAAGATGAAGGACCACGGCACAGGACGTCCACGGCTCACTTCGAGAATGCCAAACGACCAACACAAAACTACGGAGGGTCATTTTATTGAAGATGAGCAACACGAGAGGGAAAGTTTTGTGCAGAATGGTGTGTGTGCGCGCGCGCGTGCACGCGCGCGTGTGTGCGTGTGTGTGTGTGTGTGTGTGTGTGTGTGTGTGAAAATATACTCTTAGCTACTCTGTGTGTGCTGTTAAAAATGTGTCCTCTTAACAGGGATGCAACAACCAGTATGATCCTCAGTGGACTCGTCATTCATTCATTTTGCAAAACACAACGAGTGCAGCGATGAAAGCAGAACTTACTATTGGTCCACCTTTTCAACTGATGACATCTTCGTCATCGTCATCAGTATCCCCATCAGTAGGTACTTCAGCCGCTAACATGATGTCTAAGGGTGCGTGCAACTCAGAATCTCTCCGGAAACCTACTTCATTGGAGGTTGTCTTCAAGCCACGTTCCGTTGTGACGGTATGGGTAATGTCTAGTGTCATACTGATCTCAGTACATGCTTGGTCTTCTTTTCTATTCAGTTGAGGATGAATTTATCTTCAGTGGCCCTCAAAAGGCAAATACGTAGCATCACTAATAATAGACTGGATACTAAGTAATGTATTATCTTGACTAATGGCTTTAGACTTTTCTGTTGATTGTTTGTCAATAATGATGGTGTGTATTAACAATTTATGCGGAGCACACTAATGAGATCATTTAAGTCTGTGTATTATTGTGTGGGCGTACGCTGATGTGTGGATGGAATTGTTTGTTTAGGTAAGCATTGGGTTTGAGCTGAGGTATGACTGGCTGCAAGAATTCCTCAATGACGGACATTCTGATGTTGGAGATGGGCACAATCAGCAAGGTGCCGTCAAGAAAAAGAAAGCAGCAGCAGCAGCATCACCAACCAGCGTGCACACTAGACTAAATAAACAGGTCATCAAATACCGTAGCAGGCTAAGGATCAAGTATGAAAAGAACAAGGCACCGTCGCAGGTATGTTTTAACAAGGCACCGTCGCAGGTATGTTTTGCAAATGTTTAGCATGTATACAATAGGCTTTTAGCCTTTGGGGAATCCCAAAAAAATTAAAAAATATAAAAAACTCTGATATTGAGCTACCAGAAACTCATGTGATCGCTACTGCAGTCAACCTCTTCCTTGTGCTGTTTCTATCACCTCTCTACCATACTTAATCCACTGTCCTTGTTTCTTTGCTCTTGCCTGTATTTCACCTGACAAGAAAGCTTGATAGTATACCAGTGAAAACTTTCAAAATGTTCAAGAATCTGAAGTGTGTCCCTCTAACTATCACAGTGGGGACATCACGACGAGAGAGCGGCCAAACTCACCGCTCTCGCTATGCTTCGTTTTACCTAGGTTATCATGCGTGTTATTCGAACTGATAGAAACATATTTGCAATACGATTATCGGGTACATGTTCTTGTATTGCAAAGACGTTTCTAGCAGTTCGAAATACCTTGCATGATAACCTAGGTAAAACGAAGCACAGCGAGAAAAATATTTATTGCATGTCAGTTTGGGCAGTTCGGGCATAGTGACTTGTTAGCACCCTCGATATTACTTCTCTGACTGCTGCCCTATGGCCCTTTGCCTAACCTGTTGAGCATTAATATTAACAAGTCATAAGGCCCAGCCTACCATATACTAGCCTGTTCTACGGCATAGTGCATGATACTACGGTGTTAGTGTGTATGATGCTACTGTCATGGTCATGGAAATCCGGTCACACGTCTAGCGGCCCAATGGCGCTGGCCATGCAGCCGTGGGTAAGCAGTACATGTATGGCATTGCGCTTCAGGGAGCTGGTTGCATTGGATCAACATGATTGTGCACTGTTCTATGTACGCGCTGAGGGCGCCGGCCCCGGTCAAGCAACTGGATATCCATGTCCGCGACAGCAGTTTGTAATGGTGCATTGCAGCACAGTTGCATAGTACAAGAGCTTAGACCAGTTGTGCTGTTTGTTCCACCAGGAT